TAGTTATATTAACTATAAGGCGTGTAATACTACTAATATTTATAATATATAAAGACCTATTAGATCTCCGTTAAGGAATCGGTTTTAATTATAATAATAGCTATTATTTCCCGATTTATTAATCTTATTCTTATATTATTCTCTAGCGCGTTATTCTAGGCGCTATTATTAGCGGTTATCTTTTAATGTATTATTAGAGCTTTCTTAGTAATCGCTTAATTTACTATCTGTGTTAATTAAACTTAGGCTAAGCAAGTTACTTATAGTTACATAATTCCCTTCCTTCTTATATTATAGGGTTATAGCTTAGGTAGTATATGCGTTATTCTTAGTATAATATAACTTTTCGTTTAATATCTTTAAATTGGTTTATTATAATTTTAGTTGTATTATAAGGGTTATTCTCCTTCCCTTTTATTCTCGTGGAAACTATCCGCTACCTTGCTTACTATTAAGGTGCGTGTAGTAATTATTATTGTAATAGAAGGTTTAATTAAGGAGTTTATGTTTAATTTTAGGTTCGTTTTTCTTAGTTAGATAATTCTCTTCTTCTTAGATTTATTCTAGTAAAGGTTCACTTTTTAGTAAGGGTGTTTAGTGTTCCTAAAAGTCGTTAGGTACTAGTTGGGTTTTAAATTCCTAATCTTTATTTGAATTAATGTTATTTGTTAACGTGGGGCTTTCTTTATTACTTACTATACTAAGATTTCGCGTGGGTAAGTCTTCTTGGTTTATGGTATAGAGCTTTTTGCCTTTAGGAATTAGCTTTTATAGCTTTTTCAGGGCTTTACATTTATTCGTAAAGTGTCTAGTCTTACTATAATTATAATAAGTCTTCCCCTTTTCCTTATTTATAGCGTTAAGTTCTATAGGTCTAGCGTAGTACCCGTATACTATTAATGTTTAGCGTGGCTTGCTACTATTAGGTTTATTAAACCTAGTATATAATCTGAATTTCCTATAACTTTTTTCGTAACGTCGCTCGTATAAACGGTTGTTTGCCTTAATAACTATTTTAATAAAGTTGTTAAATAACTTAGGACGATCTTCTTAATAAATGTTATCCTTTACTTCTTCTTTAAGTTCTTAATAGAAGACTTCCATTTTAGGTTTAGTATTCTAGTTAAGTTTTACTATAATGCGTTTGAATTCCTTAGTATAGTAAGCTGTAGATTCGGTTTACTTAAGTTAAGTAAGTTATCGTGTAGCTTTCTTATGCTTATTAGGATTTCTAAATGTAGCGAGAAGTTATTCTTTAAAGGTTTCGTAATTAGAGAAGATGTAAATAACTTCCACTTTAGCTTTAGCGCCGTGTTTAAGATATGCGTAAAGGGTTAGCTCCTACTATTTTATTGCTTTCCTAGTTAAGAGGTTATTAATGTAAAGAATCTGTGACTTAGGTGTCGTATAGATTTTTTCGTTAACTCATAGGTAAGCTTAGGCTTATATGAGAAAGTTCCTTACATTACCCTTATAACTATCGTATAATTTAGGCTTAGAGAATTTTAGCATGTTATTATTATTAATAGAGGATATAGGTGTGAGATTTTAAACTACTATAAGTTTCTCTTCTCGTGCCTTAAGTTTTTCGTAGAGATTATTCTATTAGTTAAGAAGCTATTAATTCTACTTCTTAAGCTTAGTAATCTTATTATAAAGGTACTTTATTATCTCCCCGAGGTTAGTGGTCTTTCCGCTTAAAGTAAATATCTTAGAAGTTATTACTGCTTAAAGTTTTAAGGTAACTTACTAAATAGAATTAATTAAAATGTAATAGTAGCTTAGA